ATGTAACTGCAAAGACAGGTCAGGATGGGACCAGAGAGCAAGCTACTGAAACTTTCTGACCTCTTCTGTAGTCCTAAGGGCCATGATTCCTTTGCCACCTGAAGGAGGCTGCAGATTGCAAGTACGGAATCAGTCCTGACCTGTAATGGGTTTGGGTGGCTTCACTTTCAGCAGCAGCACTGGGAGACTCAGTTTTGCATCAGCTTTGTTTGCAGACACAGGAGACTCCTGCAACAGAAAAATGTCAGCCTGAGAACTGTGCGGTGTCCTACACTGCTACGTTTTCACCTGTTCATGGAAATCAAATGCTTCCTAAAGGATGTGTATGCGAAGGTTGGCCAACACTGCCTAGGAGATACTGGTGGTAAGCTCATTCTTCAGGCCAAAACACAGAAGCTTGAGGGAGGTCACTACTTTCTCAACAACATTACAATGGATGTCCTGCCCAGGCACCTCCTGTCTTTGTGCCCTAAATAACCTCCACTTCTGATCTTACTAGTTTGTCTGAATTACTCCTGTTGCAGCGCAGGCCTGGGTGCGGCACAGCAAGGCTCAGAAAAAAGAAAAGAAAAAAAAAAAAGGAAAAAAGAAAAAAAAAAAAGAAGCAGGACTAAATGTTGCAGAGTGCTGCAGAATACAAGAACCAGATTTTGCTTCAGAGAGCCCAGGACTGGAGGAGGTCACATATGTCCTCGGCTGGGAATAGAAAATCCTAACAGGGGACTGGCCCCGGTGTGTCCCCACCACCACCACCACCCTACCCCACACACATTGACACTTGGCTAAACAGAAAAGGTCTGGCTAAATAATCAACCATGTCTGAGAAGAAAGAGGCAGGAGCTTGCGTAGTTTACATGGAATCAGCAAAGAGGGAATGCCTGGGTGTTTGCTTTTGGCTTGGCTAAATTAAGGGGGATGTTCTCCCTGAAGCCAGGCCTGAGAAGCCGCTCCCTCTTAAATGGCCAAGGAAGTCTTTGCTGAAGGAAGAGGGAAGAGTGATGAGGCAGGTATCACAGAGGGTTAGCTGGAGGTGCTGGGCAGAAGGTGCCTGTGTGTTGAGAGGTGAAATCTAGCAGGGTGAAAGCGACGCAGGAGAGGGTTAAGCACTGACTCAGCATTTAAAATTCCCCGTAACAGCTCAGGACACTCATTGAGGCCAGTTACCGTCTCTGCAGAACCATCTCCATGCAGCTCCAGACTTTTCTGCCAAAGAACCAGAGGTGACAGTGGTTAGTGCAAACAGGCAGAGACCCTGCCCTGCTCAGGCCGGTTTGGCCGTGACCCCACCAGGCTCCTCTTGTAGGTAGTCTAAAACACAAACCCCGGTTCAGGACCAGACTCCCAAGTGGAGGTATCGGGCCCAATTCCCACTCCTCTTCACCTTCCCCCAGTAACATAAGGGAGGAGCCCTGTGGGAATACCCTTACATAGGGCCTCCTCAGATGGGGAAATACTGCTGGGAAAGGAGCTGCCAATTTCAGGGAGGGGCAGCAGGAACGCTAGCCCTGGGATCAAGGGAACCTCATTGGAAAGCCTGTCTTGGGAGAGTAAGCGTGTCCCAATAACACAAAGGCAAAAAAGAATGTGGGATGGGCGGCTGTAGCAGCTGTAGAGACACATACTCCATCCCCCTGGGCCGACAGACTTGTTCAGCCTGTATCTTGCCATCACTGTCTGCAGGAGCAAGGCTTGAGGAAAGACCTGTAGGCAAAAGGGTATAAGAAAAAATAGCACAGTGGGAGATGGAACTGTTTCATACCACAGATGTCCAGCTTGACCTCCTCTCCCTGCAAGCCAGCCCTGCTGCAGCTCCTGGGCTCTTTTCCATCTCCTTCAGCCAGGAATCCTTAGGCAATCGGTAGATCTCCAGCCAAGCTTTTGTGCTGTCTGCGTTGGGAAACCACGTTGAGCAATTGGAAATTAGGAGAAAAGGTCTTTCAAGCAAGCAGCCTCTGTTATCTTATATCCTTAAAAGAAGATTTGGATATTTTTTGAAATATAAAATCCCTCTGAACTCCATGCAGCCCACCTCTCCTCCTACTTAAGGCTTGACATGCTTGACTGAGACTGACATCTCAGCCTCCAGCTCAAGTCCTCGAGGTCCCACATCCACCAAAGACATTCCACAAAGAGACTCAGTCAAAGAATTTGACCTGTAGCCTCTGAGGTAAAGTAGAAAGTGAGAGGTGGTCTCAGGCTGGTTCTCCGTGGATGCTACATATCTCATTCTCAGCATATGTCCAGGCAGATTCCACCAAACATGGGTCCAGAAAAACTGCTAGCAGCAAACGGGTTGACAAAGGCAGCTGCCACGAAACAGAAGAATGTTGTGGCAAGAAGTTTGTTGTAGTGTTTTTAGAGACTGTCTCTATACTGTCTGGCTTGTGTCTGCAGAGAAAATTCTTCAGGTCTACATATTTCCAGTGTAAAAGTGATCCATAGCAAACCAGAGGAAGAACTGAGTTTGGTACTTCTGGAGAGGAGAGGGAAACCTGCTTTCACTGAGCCTTCCGGGAGCCGGGAATTGCACTGACCAGTTCCAGAGAGCTCACTTTTGGGATCAGTCCTGATCCACACCAGGCCTTTTGGAGAGGAGAGGGAGCAGCAGGAGCAGCTCTCTAAGCTGGAGGAGGGACTGGAAGGGTTAGGAACAGGATCCCTGGGAACCCAGAACAGTTGGAGGATTTTAAAAGCATTGCTGCCAGCCCCTCTGCTAGAACACAACAGCCGGTCACCCAACACACCATGTCCCTGCACTTGCCTTGCAGCAGGACTCCTGCGTAATCACCTCCGGGGGAGAGCACCACCTCCACACAAGTACTTCGCTTGCCGATATCCTCCTGCCAAAGAAAAACGGGCTGGCATCAAAGCAAAATCACCAATTCAGAGAGCTCCATGGCCTTACGCAGTTCTCAACAGGGTGAACAGACAGACAACAGGCAGATTGTTGGAAGAACAGGAATAAATATTGGGCAGCACTCTTGGAGTGCTGCTGCCCATGACAGAAATTCCTGAGGGCAATTAGTACTCCTCCTGACTGATTACTTACCAGCCTGTGCCCAGTGACTATGGCATTAACTCGGTACTTACCACTTCATTTAGGATTTTAATGAGTACGAAGCTTTCCTTGTGAAAGCAGAAGAGCCAGACGAGCCCTAGAATAGAAATACAAAAGTAGCAGGAGGAGGAGGAGAAAAGTGAACAGATGGTAGCCACGCTCTTGGGAGATGGCTGTTACAACATGTGCAGGAGAGTGAACGGGACTACATTTTTTCCTGGGCTCAAGGAAGAATATCCCACTGCTTCCAGCACTACACTTTTGCTGGCTTCCTTATGCCAGCACCAGCACACATTCGATTGTACACAGAGATGGATAAGCCAGTTTGAAAAGTATCTCCACCAGAATTGATAGGTTTCAGATGAATCAACAAACTAACCTATTTACCACAGGGCTGTGCAATTACAGGTGCAGAAACAAAGCACTGCCCGTGCTTTGGTCATACCAAGCAATGGTTCTTTCTGTCCAGTCCAAGGTGTTCCTAAAATTTACTGCACTTCACCCTCAGCTCTGCACCCGCCTCTGCTGCTCCAGAGAGGACACCAAACCCACACCCTCTACTAATCACAAGGCCCTAGGGCCACTCTGTCACCCTACAACCTGTTATTTAACGTCCTCCTTGCAGGGCTTTCTAGGAAACCTGTCAGCCATTCTAATGTTCCTCCTGACTTAGCGCTCTTCCAATGCAGCTGCCAACTCTTCAGCTCCAGAGCACAGCTATCCCCAGCTAGGTCAAGGAAATCCACGTCACACTAACCCATTTCATCCACAGCAAGCAGGACGTGGCGCTCATTCCCCAAATCCAAGGCATGGATGGCACAAATCTCCGTCTTGACTGCATCCCAAGCACAGACCTCCTTGCAGTCAGATACCTTGAAGGCAGACAGACCCACGGACAGACCCACAAAGATGTATTTTCCAGACACTGCGAGGCAATTGGCTCTTCCGGTTACCTACCAAGAAAGGGAAAAGATGAGTGCACCCAACTGCTTCCCCAGTGGAGGATACATCAGCCATACTGGCGATATACTCCTAGACTTTCACCAACAGAAAATGCTGATTAATTCTACAAGGGAAACATTTTTGCATGAGCTTTCATCAGAAGAGCAAGGGAGGGGCTCTCATCTCTGTCACAGAGATTGTTCTGTGTTGGGAATGAGAACGTTTGTGCCCACCTTTCCCCTCCTGATAAACAGAAAGGGCTTTAAAGGCCAAGAACTCAGGAGCACTCAGCCCTCCCACCGCTAACGCAGAGCTGTGACTGGATGCTGAACTCCTCCGGGCAATCGCAGAACGCCAGCAGACGCCAGCGTATCCTCCTGGATACCTCCACGTAAGGACGGGGAAGGCAGCACTGCCCTTTTGCTCACAGGGCTCCCATTAGGGTATTCACCATAACACAGAGCTGAGTTTGCCCGTTTATATGCTACTGACTAATTACCTTCTCCTTGGCAAACAAGGGTGGTGCCGGCCCGAGAAGCAGAAGGTGAATTTAATGCTGTTTAATACCTGCTTCTCTCTTTTCAGAGAGGTGTGATAGATGGGTGGGAAGCAGAACCTGTCAGACAAGCTTAGAAGCTGCAGCCTTTTGTGGTGAATCAGTGAGATGGTGGTGGATTCTGAAGAAGGTGATGAATAGAAGAATGTAAAATCAACTGAATGGATATTCTCTAGAAAAACTGCTACAGTGATTAATGCTATCTCTGCTGTGAGGGGCTCTGTACCTGGAATTCAGCAGTAGGAAAGCATTTTGTGGGCTGGACCTTTAGTTTTTGCGCTTCGCGGAGCATCTCCCTTCTTTCAATGATTTCCATAGCATTCTCAAAAACCAGCATCACCAGTTTGTTGATCATCCTGAAGGGCTGAGGCAGCGCATCACGCTTTCGATCGGGATCCTGCAGGAAGAAATCTTCCTCATCGTCCTTTAGCCAGTCCTTTTCAGATGGTGGAGGAATCTCCAGGGGATGCTTCCGGATATACACAGCCATGGTTCTGCCCTTCCAGACGCAAAACGCACCACAGATGCAGGAATCACAGTAGATGCAGAAGAACGAAGAATCGTGCAATATCTACTTTCATGAGGTAACGGGGGAAAAAGAAGACGACGATTAATGATCTCTATGAGGGAAGGGGGGTTCCTTTCAGTATAGATAGCCAGAGCAACCCTGTTCTATATAGCTCATTTCTACTTGCTGCATCGCCTCTGTTACTCAGGGGTCTTGCCTCTGGGAATATCAGCCACACAGGCAGAAAAAGGGAGCGTAGAAGCTTTGGCACGAGTTTGTATAAGAATTATGACAAAGCATTCAAAAATACCAGCTTGTTCTTCACTGAAAGACTTATTCGGCCTGGATAAAATCCCAACAATTAATTAGGAAAGCAGGTGATGTCACTGGAAGTTATAAACTTCATTCCCAAGCCACCGGTAGCTTTCTGAGCTTCCCCCTCGGGGCCGGGGCCGGGGCCG